TACAGAAATCCCAAATTCAAAAGTTTAATTTTATCCCGCAATAATTATGCATCAACCTAATAGTAAGTAATGATGATGATTTCGTAGGTACAGGGTGCGCCATAAATATGATACCAACTTTTCGGACGCCCCTAATTTCCTTGTTCGGAGGGTTTCTTCAAAGCTGTACCTTCCCTTATGTTTGTGGTATACCTTAGCCCACGTATCTACTTTGGTGCTCTCAGTTCGTCAGATTTCGGAAAACGGTGTAGCCTCGCAGACATTCACCAACCGTTCCGTCTGTGGGCGCATTTGGTGAGTTCTTTTCCGGGATCCCTCCTTGTCACAACACTTCCCACATGATAGTCTCTTGAAACGCAATGCGCAAACAGGACAACGACAAACCTCGAAAAGGTCGCCTTGCCTCACATACGACCTCTTTTCCGAATACAATTGCCTGTGATGGAGTACGCTGCGGAGCCTGCAGGAAACGAGAAAAATGACTTGCTGATCTGTTTGTATATTCTACTCCGATCAGAGTAGTCTCTTCCGAGTAAGTAAAAATGTATTAAAATAGGATTCGAAAACCTCAAAAGCTTCTTGGCGGGAAGAAGTTGGAGGATCGTGCATTCCACATTACGAGTGCTAAAGCCGCTGCGAAGAGTCGGATCGCCTCTTATAGCCATTTTCCCTTTTTTATGATGGTTTAGGCTAGAATATCTACCATCACAGCGACATTGCAAATTTTGGTCGAGAAAAGTTCAAAACATAATCCGCTACCCCTTGATAAGGGTTATTCTGAAAGGATGCAGCTGAGGACCTAATATTTTCCTGGAATAAAATTTGAAAACTGCGACGCACTTGCTCACAGATGGGACAAGATCAAGAATGGTGCTGGGAAATGATCGCGACTTCATTCCAGCTTGCAATCATCTTACGAATTTGGGTAGCTGGAAATAGTCCATCGTGGAGAGGAAAGCCTGCGCTTCAAAACACACTACGATTGCTGCTCCTAGGAAATCATCGAAAAAGCTTTGTCTGTTTCTCGAGTAACTCTGCATGTCACCGTCAATGAGTAGCCGAAGCGTCTTCGAGCTATAATTAGTACAGAGACGGTTATATAAGATGGCCGTGTGTTTGTTTCGTAGATGCGATGCTTAGTAAATAACTCACAAGAATTTAACATCTATCAATATGGACTGCGGTTTCTGGGGGCCAATTGTTTTGTTACCATATTTATGGCGCACCCTCTAGAAGGTAACGAAGAAGACTTCATATATGGAACGATTCAGAGAGGTTACGAAGTCCTTGTACGATGTTGACCCTGCCAGCTTCAGCGCAGGCGCCGTAGACCTTGAAATTTTGGGCACATGCCTTCTGAAAATTTCTCACCGCTTTTCCCACCACTCAAACGTCTTTCAACAAAAATATAAGTTGTTCTTAAAGAGTATATTACATCCAAATGCGCACCCCGCCCACTCAACCTTGCCCACTTTTACTAATGTTCTTTCTTGCCTCCTTTCTTTCGCTGGTTCGTGTAAAAACCATAAAGGCACATCCAACGATAATTGTGAGTTCCTAGTTTTCGTTTAGTAACGGAAGTGGTAGTCCAAAACAGCGCAAAAAGGGCGAAGAAAATACAGAAATCGGGGTATTTGGAGAGGTATAAAGTTTTATAACTGTAGTAATTTAGGGGTCGGACGAGAATATGTCGGCAAAAAAAATATGCATGGGAAGGGAATTTGGACGAGCTGATCAAATGTTGGCGCCTTTGCGTGCACTTGGTTGCAGTAAGCTTCCCGCGTGCAGCGTCTCCGTGCGAATGGTGCCACCTCTACAGTTTTTACAACGCTCAGCAATTCGTTCGTGTTCACAAGTTTTCAAAAACAAAGCTGGTTGTGTACGTCGGCTAAGCCGATCTAGTGCCTTTGGTCGCCGCGGCAACTTTCATTACGGGTAACCACAGGAGTTCACAGAATCACCCAAGGAACAAACCATAGAAGCAATTTTTAGAAGAGAACCATAGAAACGTGAACTGTACCTTTGATTAGAGAGTACCGTCCACGGTGAGGCGTTAAGTTCACCAGTTCACCCCGTGTGGGTCTCCTTCATTTCATTCGTTGACACTTTCCCATTTTTACCAACTTTTCGCCGGCGTCTGGGCTTTTATGAACCTTGATAAAAAATTTTCGCTCTGGGCACATTGCATTTCCCTATCTATCCACGTGCTTCTTCAGGTAATATCGAATTTCCTAACAGACAGACAGACAGACAGACAGACAGACAGACAAAGCGAGCTCATGTACATAGCAGAAAAACTTCTGCGTGCTCTGCCCTCCCAAATGTAGAAAATCTTGGCCTGTAAATACCGTTGCTATTCCATCACACAAATATCAACAAAAAAGTATTTATTTATTCTACTTATCGGCAACACACATATTGTTGTTCACCGCTACTGTACTCACAGTGACTGTTTGCCGGGCACTGAGAGTACAAACAATTAATGGCTCTCCCATTATCGTAGACAACAGATTCCGATGGATTCTTGCATCTACCTGAAATGTACTTCAAGTACTTTCACTTTTTACTTGGGCCTTACGCTCCCTGAACCTACCTGTACCCCCACCATTCTGCTGCCTCGATCGGCAGCAAAAGTATTGCTGTAGTTGTTGGTTGTTGTAGCAGTAGCTATTCTGTGGGCACGATGAATAGCGACAATTGATGGGTTCTACAGAGTTTGGCTGATAAACGGGCTCTTCCATGGACGAAGCGCACAACTGATTTCCTGAGGAACCTGAAAAAGTTTTTGACATCTAGAAAAGCCATTCACAAATATTCGATAGCGTTTTGCGATTGGAAATGTTCAAAGGCTGGTAACATTTATCATTCATTGAGTTTTTTAAGTTAAATACCTATTGGCTCGACATTGTAGAGATGGTTAAACAACGTCCAATTATACAGCCTAAAGCGTTCCATGATATAGGGCAAAGAATAAAGTTCTTTGGCGTTGAACAGTCCTTCTATCTGTAATATGAGCCCCATACTCGGCCTTCAGAATCGTAGTGGCTTCTGAATGTGCATAAGGCCTGGCTTACGCTTTCTAGCCAATGTAGTGTCAGTGCTTTTGCCCTCCTTGATGGGTCAGGTGCCATTTAACCTTGCTCAGAGGTTGAAATGCGCGGGTTTCAATATCCAGGACCTCGGGCCATAAATATGATATTGCGCCACTCGACACTACTCCACACGCGTCCCCCTATGAATAATTTGATGCTATAAAATTCAACACATTTCTCATCGTATGTAGTAAATGTGGATGGTCGCCTAACACGCTACTGAAAGCACACAAGGTCGATATGTCTGAAGATAACTATAACTTGTTCGAAAGTTTAGTGCAGCCTTTCCAAGACTTTAAACTTCATGGGTATATCGATTCATCGACGATCGATATTAGACCGAAAGATGTTTATGAAGTACTTCATTCTATTGTGTTGTGATAAGTGATCTAGAGTTGTTTTGATTACGCACCAAAACAACCAGGGTATAAGAATCCTCTCAGGTAGTAGGGTTCACTTTCACTTTATCCTTCATCTCAATGGATCGGCGTTGGCGTTAATAAAGTTGTCGACTACGACGTTCTTCGCTACATACGCTATATCACTGAACCACTGAACCACTATCGAATCGGTTTGGACATCCTGTGCAACTGTGTATCTCTACAATGGGGCTAAGGTTCCGGCTAGGTCGCCTTCGTCAGAGCCTGAAAGTCGAACAGCCATTGGGATTGATTCTGTAATTAGGCAAGATGAACCCAGGCAGTTCTCCGGACTGGAAGACTTCCTAGATCCGGTATACAAGTATATCTAAGCCGCTGAAGCGTTAGATCGGCCACCCAGCATGTAACGTCTGCGTACAATAAGCAAGCCTACCTCCTTCCTGACCTCACCGTAATTTCGAAATTTGCAGAGGTCGAGAAAGGGTGCGTCACAGTCACACAATCTTACTTCCTATTAATTTATTTATCCCTGGCTGCAATCCAACACGCCTCAAGTGCTCTCCGTGCAGTGATCTCCGTTTCTAGTGCCAAGATGGCTACTGAAATTGTGAATTCGTTACCATTATGGCACAAAACTCAATGCACTTCTAGTGGTGCCCGAGTGCGAGGCTTTCTTAGCCCCTCCAGGTATCCAACTCGTGTACGAAAAGGACCCCCTGTTTTACCAATATAGTCATTTCCACAAGCTTGGCAACGAATTTCGTAAATAACCCCTGCTCTCATGCAATCACCTCGTCGATTGGATGGACACACAAGGCATATTGGACTGTCACACAAGGTGTAGTATAGGCGATGGCGAACCAGTTGTCGATAGAGGTTTCTTGGGGTGTTTCCGCAACCATAACCTCTTCCTGTAGATCACACCTAATCGAACTTGATCGAATTGCTCTGCTCATTTCTTCGGAAATGAACGGCAGGCAAAATGCCACCTTATCGACTGGTGCTCGTTCACGAATTCTACGAGGTGGGAAATGCCTTCCATGTTATGACCCCCCGTAGCAGTGAGGATACCCATTAGACAACGCAACCCTTCGAGCTATGTCCAACAATTCTGTAGTGAGATCTAAGGTGCGGGCCGAACGGTAGTGAGTAAGAATATTCTTACAGCTTGGCGGCTTACGGTACCATTTCGACTGTTCTCCTCGCTAGCTGAATCTAGATATTAAGGAATGGTAACCAGCTCTCCCTAGGCCTTTCCCGTGTGTGTTTGATTTGATCTGCCCGGTTGTTAAGGATGTCAAAGCATATGTTTATCTCTTCTTGAGTGGAACGTATGATTAGGCAGTCGTCAATATAGCGACTATATGTAGAGAGGGTTTGGAACTATAACTAATTATAACTGTTGCAGAGAGAGTGGGAGGGATTCATATGTTTGTAGATGACTCTCGATTTAGATATTTTTAAGGCAGAATTTTATCAAATAAACCACTTCCTTTACTGAATATTAATGGGTATATGGAACTGTTATCTAGCTCATAAGCCTGCAGCACACATAGTCACAGTTCTCCCTAGTCATGCCGGCCTTTTCCGCTTTCAGTAGCTTGCTAGGTAACTTCCTACACTCATACTACTTATATTATTATTATAGCTAGTCTTCTCCATCTTGGAGATCACCTATAACAGTCAGATTATTGGGCTAACCTAACTCAATGTTGAGCAACTCACCTCCGTTTCTACAGTACCCGTCACCGTTATCAAAGGTTCCAGGAGGACAGCGGCAAATACTTGACTGACAGCTTGAACCTCCCATACATTGCTGATTATAGAAACACTGACCTCCAGTCTAAACTTGAATTTTCTCATTTTTACCGCAAGTAATGCCCAAGAATCATACCTGCACTAGGGGATAACACTGATTGTTGACGAGCACTTGATTTGGATTGCAGCCAGATGACTGAAAATCGGGATGTACAGATGAAAATGGTAAGTGTGTGCAATTTTATTTTGTTACAACTTTCTTACAGATTTTTTCTTTCTCATTGGTGCTGTGCTCCCGTCGTATATGTTGTCGTTCGACGTAATTCTTTTTGATCGAATGATTTGAGGCTTGCATAGCTTCAAACCCTTTGACTACAGGTAGTACATGTGTGTACCACTACCGTATTCAAAACACCGATGTATTCCTAGGATATACTAGGGCATAAGCGCCCGCTCTGTGGCTGAACTAAATTTATATAGGAACTTTCACCACTTGCTATGACGATAAAGTCAACAAGTCAAAGTGGCTAGCCCTGTGCGGCAATAAAACAAGTCGTACTGCTACAACAGCAGTAGGTTGTTTATCAGTGTGCTCTGCCCCGAGGAAGGTAATATGCTGATGCTTCTCTCCTAACCAACTGTACCAGGTGTAGCATGAGTGAACAGTCATAGATGGTGAAGTTTCATCAGCCGACGACCAGGTTGAGGAGGGCGCGGCGTTTGACATCAGTGTTGAAAGTCCCCGTCTACAGTGTTCGACTCAAAGCCCAAATTACGGAATTGGAATCAAAAGATCCCTTCAGCGGCAATGTTCCTGAAACAGAGAAAGACTGCGAAGAATCGTTCGAGTAGAAAATGCCGGTGAATCTCCAAGTGCTTTTGCGAAATGCGAGTTGTTGACCTTCTCAGGGGAGGGAAGGGTAAAAGCACAAGCTCAGCATGGGAAGAATTGTTGATATCATTTAATATGTACTGGCAATTAGGAAAACGTTTTAAGTTTTAATTTCTCAGCCACACTTCATTTGATTCTCAAAATGCCGATCAATAACATAGGTCGACCGGATTTTCCTTCAACAGCTTCTGCAGATTACTCAAATCATGGGAATAGAGCAGAAAAGTGGGCGCATTCATATGAACCGGTCGATTTGATGACCAACGAAAGCCCTTCATCGTACAAATGGAATTAACTTCCGCTTCACCATCAAACCACCAAACTGTTATGTTATGATTTTGTATATTTCATTGTCTCGCCAACTGACCTCACCACTGGATCGGCATACACCGTTTACAGCGGAATATCCATTCGGGCAGACGCATATTGACGATCTACAAGAGCCGAATCCCATGCACTGAGCAGAGTACTGGCAGGATTGGCCGAGCGGTACCAATCGGAGACACTGTCCTCCAATCGACCTAAAAGTTCATTCTGATCCTGTACACTCCAATACCCATGTAGGTAAAACTTACACTAATCCCTGATTGCAGTAGAAGATTCCCGTGACGCATGCTGTTCCATTGTAGATGTAGGGGTACGAGCATTGACAAGTTGTCGAACAAATGGCATTCACTGTAAAGCACCGAATGATGTGGGGGCGCTAATGGATCTCCTCTACCCTTGTGAGGCAAAATAGGAGGCTGCAGCGCGATCAGAAGTGCCCTTCTCCTACTGGATCCCTAGCGTTGAAGACAGCTCTGTTTACTTGGAACCATTCTTGCATATGGTGCTACAAGAACGAGGGCCATAGTTGACAAAGATGACAAGTGATAAGGTGAGGTGGAAGAAAAGAGTTGTGAAAGGTGCTACTTCTACGGTGTGCTCCTCTACCACCATAAATAGTTTGCTCTCTATAGTCAAGACTTCATAGAGGCTGATTAACTCGTAGTTTCGCAACTAACCTCACTGAGACTTCTTTTGTTTTCGTCTCCATTCTCCATTTTCGTCCCCGCGAGAACTCCTCCCGATTTTTCGCTGGTACTTATGAGGTATCTACCGCCGCGGAGTAACCCACTCAGCATAACATCTCCTGATGTGTATGCTTGAAATTCCACATAGCTCAAGGTATGTAAGTGCATTATTTCGTGGTAGAAAGATCTAATAAATCCTGTAGGACGCCCTTGATCCTTTTGGGTGTGCGGTCTCTGTGAGCGTACCTCTTATTCCATTAGACCAGAACACCGCCATAGTACAAAAAAACACTTTTCATGCACAGGCTTGAATTTTTAGCGGTTTCCAAGGATTGACACTTCAGGCAGAAAAGGGTGGCATCGCGTTGCAAGAAGGCAAGGCCACTACGGCATCCTGCTCGTTCGCCCTCCTCAACACAGAGTGTAAGCAGGGGTGCTTGGTAAGGGCCAGATAGGTCTTCTTCATAGAACTCAAGAGTATTATGTTCGATTAGCGTTGCCGTGACTGCTTACGTTATCCACCTCAGCGATTAACTCGGTCCATTCTCTGAAACTACCTCGAAAGGTGTTTATCTACGACAAACAACCGTTTTAGCCTTATTTCTTGGGCCGCCTTCCGCTGCGCAATGGGAATTGAATGCACTCATCGTTTTGGCATTCGGCTGGATGTATTTTTGCTTTGGGAACCCCTTTTCTATTTGAGGCACTACTCGTACTAGGTGCTGCTATTCGTGGAACCATCCAGAAGGAATAGTACTCTACCATGACAAATTACTCACTGATGCATTGTGCATTGTTTGAACAGCTCTGACCGATTGACACTCTATCCAAGCACTGACTGTTCACTGCCACCTAAATATAGTGCACTGAAAGTTGCTATTCATGAATCATTTTGATATACAGTACATGAGGAGTTTGATACCCTCAACGGAGCAGTTGTATTTAGATAGAGAGCGTTAGTTAATGGTCTAGGATCATTAACCTGTGACGCCCCCTCCACGCCCTTTCCCACCTTGTCTCTATTCCCCTTTTCGTCCCTAATAAGGATAAAGGATAAAATCTTGGCGTTAGACGATCTCGTCTGAGGAATGGCTCACACACTCGACTTCCATTCAAAATCGTAGTGGCGTAATGAGTGCGTATGATACCTATACAAGGACTTGCGGTGGTCAGCCGATGTACAAGTCAGTGCATTTATCCTCCCAGACGAGTCTGTTATCAATTAACCGACCCCGGAGGAATGGAAAGCTTGGTTGCCTAGGCGGATACCAATCCGGGATTCGAACCTCTGACCGTGCGCGTGAGATAGTGCGCCACTTGCCACTACCCCCGCCCTTCGTCTTAAATCTTAAATAATTAAGCAAACCATTGTACCTATGTATTTACGAGTAATTCTTGACCTCAGCAACTGAAAAAATACCAAATAAACTAATAAAAGAATGAAGCTACACATGTCATTGTTTCATAGATCCCTTGCCTGATAGGATGGACAACCGGCATTTTGAGTGTTGCACATGCCGTTGGTAGTCGTTGCACCATTTGGACATCTACAGTATCCGCTCATACACTGTGAATAACCAGTGCATTGATCGTCGTACATGCACGGACCACCAACGATCGCCATTGGATAGCACTGTCCATTAATGTAAACCTGGAACGAAATATGGAATCTTGCGAATATCAATAAGAACGAACTGAGCAGAGCCCAGCATTAGCTGCATTATCGTCCAGGGCATGCTCCATTGCCTACTGTGAAACGAACCTGATTCTGCTGCCGGCATTCAGGACTGCTGCATTTTCCATTGAAGGCTTGCACACCTCCGGGGCATTGACAGTAGCCAGTGGTACAGATCGAGTTGCCAAGACACTGCTGGCTGTACATACAAGGCCCTCCGATAGTTACTTTTTGCATGCATTGTCCGTTCACAAGTACCTGCAACTACGCGAACTCGGAGGAGGGTTTCATTGGGCATTTACATGGTCCAGCAAGACACCCGAAGCGAATGCTGCATAACAAAAGAGGAAAAGGAATCTCTCCACTCCCCACGTACTGTGTCCTGAGGCGTGTGCATCATGTGGTAGTGAAGTTTAGAAAAAATTATTTTTCGGTGCCCCCTGAAGCAAGATGCGCATTAGTCTCACAAAGAGCAAAAAAACTTAATTATTTTCTCGAATTTCTTTATTCATCACGGTAGTACTGTCTCCTTTTCAGCAATCGGCTTGATTCACTTGCAGATCACCAATTAATCAATTGGCCACTCAAATCTTTCTCAGCCTCATATCCATTGCTCGTAGTCGTGCCCGAAAAACAGAAACACCGTTAGTAAGCACCCCCCTGCTTTCCCTTCCACTCTTATTACCATTCATTTCGCTTTCCCATCATGATCATGTGTGACTTTCCACTCTTTCCTGTTTTGCCTACCGGGCTTTCAATGAGTCATCCGCTCTTTTCAGTCCTTTGCTCTCTAGTTATCATCATTCCCCAGGAAACTTCAAGTTTGAGAGGAAAAGGGGCAGAGATCGAGGCACTTCTGGTAGAGAGGAGTTCGACGAAAACAAACAAAAAAATTGGCATTTTTGGCTGAGAGGGCTGTGAACCGCTAGGCCAGCTGTGCAAACTTTATCGGCCAACGAGGCACCACGTGGCCCTAATAAGTGCCGTTAAAACATAGTAATGCGAGATGGCTTCGATATGCTACCGACCTTTACGCACATCTGAGGAGAGCGGATTTTCAGAACACCAAATTCTCAGGCTTCTTCCAAGTGTCCCTCTCTTACTCCCTTAACCATTAACCAAACCGCTTACGATAACGTTTCAGTCGAAGATTCTCAAGCCGGAAATTAAGCTTGATTTTTTAGGCATGGGCAATAGTATTCGCTCGCCACAACTGGACAAATTTGTTCTTTCCTGAGCGGTTTAGAGCACTTCCTAGTTTCTTGACTGCTCGAAATTGCGATGAAAAAATGAAGAGTTCAAACAGCGATTGATATGCGCCATACTTTGATTGAAAATCTCCTCGCAGTAACGCAAAGGTCGGATGGATTGGATCGATGCCCGCTATTCCTTCCCTTGAGCCTTTGTTCATCCTTACCTTGGATGTTGTTTCGAAAATACTTACCTATATGAGAATCTCTAACCAATTACCATTTTCTGACTAGAAGCCATATGAGGAGGGAACATCCATATGTATCCTAACCCGAATGGTGCGAGTGCAGAGGTACGTACTATTCAAAAACAGAACTGAAGTTTCAGAAATCTGGTAGGCATCAAGGATCAGGTGTGAGTGTGTTGGCGAGGATACAGTGGATTCTGTGGATAGCGTAAACACGACTTGCCAATAACGGATGAACTGTAGCATCCGCTTTCTCTGAGCTTTGACATAGTCACTCAGTTCGGTAGGCGCCTAAGTGATGTCTGATGTGAACCACATAGGAAGTCCGTGGCAGTATCCCTGCCATGACTTTCGCATGTGATTTACCGCCAAACAACAGCATTAGGTTTAAGCTTGAAAAGTTTTCCAACTTTTAAGAGTAGAGCGATAGCTCACAAAGAACGGAATTTTTCAAAACCAATACTATCTCTGAAAGGAGAGCGTTGGTTCTGGAAGCTCTTTGGTTCTTGAAATCGGAGGGAAGAATTGCTCAGAACCACATGGAAGCGATGAAGCCGCTACATGAGGGTTTTTTATCGAAAGGCTACTCTCAATGAGAACCTTCAGCACGAATCCTTCTTATAAATGATAGCTGCCCACTATATTGCATTTCTGGTTCGGTTCTGGAGCGACTTGCATTCATCTTCTCGACTTGGAAGGGAAGCTACAGTATGAAGGTATAGTATGTGACGAAAATCAAAAGTGGTTACCTCAGTATTGCTGCATCGGGAGCCAGTAGTGTCGCGGATGCAGAAACCGTACATGGCCGTGTACCTAAAAGAAGTGACCATTCATTGATGAATCGATTTCGAGTGTTAATTTTGACCTGATGAAAGAGGCTATTATTTATATGTTGTGTTTGTTTTCTTATTTTCAATTTGTAAATAAATTTTTTTCATTCCACTTTCTGATCGAGAATGAAGTTCTATGCATTGTTTTGGAGTTAGCCACATAATCCAGTTCCATTTATTTTCATAAGTGTGTCCTCAAGTTGGTAGTGGTACAGATCCACAGCCTCATTCTTCCTATCATCCTTGGTATCAGTTCAGGCCTCTGGATTAAAGAAAGGCAGATCCCGTTGGTCCCGTTGACGTCAGCTAAATATACAAATGAGCAGGTACCGGGGCCAAAGAGCTTGTGCATATTGGATGTATTTATATCCATCAGGCTGTAAGGGTCTTGACCCGTTTGACATTCTTGGTTATTTTACTTTTCATTCAACAGAAAATGGGATTCATTCAACAATATAATCACCATGGTTAGTCAAAACAGTTTTTCTCCTAGACTGGTCAGCTGCTGCTTTCTCCCTAAAACTGGGACCGAAGAATTCGCTGGCACCCCTTCAAGTACCTACAAGTTTGGTGAGCTTATTCTTAGCTAGGAAGACCCTGAGGGTATGCAATGGGTGATAGCCTAGTGCGCAATGTCAGTGGAATAGGGAGAATGAAGAACTGTCCCATAGCCTAGCTCCTCCAATTTTTGACTCGACGGTATCTTTGACTTCATGGGGCCTAGCTTTATCGTGCAGTAGCTGGACGGGAGCTCCGGCTGTTTTTCTCGAAAGCGGCTGCAAGTTTCTGAAGCTGAATGGCGCCTATGTTACCAGTGACCGTGTGTCCTCGCGGGAGCAGCTCGTGATACAAATATGTCACGAATTTCAGAGGCAGCGGGAAAGACACCTCCTGGGGTTGGGGCCCGATTTGACTTGTGTCGATGGGTCTTCTCCTCATACTGAACGTGTAGAAATTGTAGAAGACCAAACTTTCTTCTCAAGTGATCATTTATTCCAGAAAACCTTCCGCTGCGGACAGAGATGGAAAGATGGACGGATGGATGCCCTCGCTGAATCGCGCGCTTCCAAAAAGTACGTGAAGGATCTATCGAGGACCCAGTACTTTTCCGTAGCCAGGAGATTGGAGATGACTGAGTGCGTCGAGATTGGCCGAGTTTCTCACAGTGTAAAGGCGTCAAGAGCGAGCGAGTGTTGTCTTTGAAGCCCGCGTCTCATTCTTCAATGCGAGTGAGCCAGCGCCCGACGATGCTGCTGACGATGGTATTCTCTCCCAATGTGCTGTTGGTGATAGAAGATGACGGCCGGGAGGTACTTGTGTGGAGTTGGCGCCGTGGTTGAAGTTAGAGAAGGCAACCCGGCTATAGGCATCTCCTTTGGGACGCTACAAGACTAATCTACAACTTACACATGGCAGATCGTAGGTATCGAACGAGACACGGTGAATCCAAATTTTTTCTAAAAAACGGTTCAGGCTTCCCTACTAACGTAATATTTCATTTGCTTACCCATATGTGCATTGACAAACGGAGTTTTGGCATGTAGCTCCACCTACACATTGGGCATCTGCCAAACAGGGTCCGCCAGCAATCGAATACGTTACACACTGATTGTTAATCAGGGTCTGAAAGAGAAAAGCAGTTGCGATGTTCTGTCGGGAAGTTGGGTAGGCTGTCAGGGAACCTGAGTCTGCTGGCATGGTCCACCCATATCTCGAATGCAGTAGCCATTTATCAAGCGACTGAAAATTCCTTAAATTATGCTGAATATTCATAGCTTTTTCAGTTTCTCGAAATTCTGGCTACTCACTATCCTTGATTGCAAGTACAGGTGTTCCTGATGCACTGGGAATTATCGATGCACTGTTCTGGAGCAATGCAACTCATTCCTGGAGATGCTAATGATTCACATTGCCCATTCACCATCACCTAGAAGTTCCTTCTGTTTATATCAGTAATCAACAAATGAATAATTAGGTTTTATCATCAGAAAAGTCGACATTACGAAATCCAATTCGTGGGAACAAAACTGGTCATAAACTCTAATCTTTTGGTCTACGAAATCCTCGGAAAGGAAGCCTGCCATGCGAGGGACAAAATAGGAGGGTTCGAGGAACATGTGAAGGCGATTCAGCTGATCTTGGAGAGATATGAGCTCCTCGGTACGCCTTAGGCACCTTAGTGCGTTTTGAAGACACAGATGCACCTGTCTCCTTCCGGAGATGACCTATAAGCTCATCGAAATGTACCCGTGCTCATCTCTTCCTGTGGCTTCATCCCTCTCCATGGTATCGTCCGTTATTTCCATCAGTTCTCACTGAGTTCCCTTTTTATGTTCTGCCGTGACTTTGGCTTCAAATTGCCTCAACGCCTTCTTCCCTGGCCTACACGTGCACCATTTTTTTCAACATTTTTTTCCACTTTATTGAATCTCTAGATTTCAGAGTGGAGCACAATTTCCTGAGGTTCAGCTGCGGTTAGGCAAAACACGCTCCTCAAAATTCCTCTGCTTCCTCAAGCTAAACCTACCATGCCTAATTGGCAATTACTGCCACTGCCATATTGTACGCATTCTCCATTTGTGTTTGTAGTTCCATAAGGACATTCACATCGCGAATTCTGGAAAACCGAATTATAAAATGCTTATCAATCAACCATTGAACACGTATAGCCTCTTTCAAACTATCACCCTTATTTGTTACGTTTGAGTTGGACTTTATACATCTCTGATTAAAAAATGAGAGACTTTCGACAAAGAATCCAACCCAGAAAACCGTGAACGGGTAAGCTCAGGGATCCCAAGAAGGTGTAAAGTTTATGAAGGTTATTGGTTGTTGCAGCGCCGTTGACCTTATAGCTGGGCTACTTATAAGACGCCAAAGGAGCACTCCATCTAAATGCTTGCAGGTGTCGACCCCTCCCGTCACCAAACTTCTTCGAACTTTCAAATAGCCTAACAGATATTATCAGGAATGTACCGTGCAAATCGAGCCGCCACGACACTGCTCCGTTGCTTGGCACATCGAACCGATGGGTACGACATTCAGGCACTGACCATTCACGTACACTTGTCCGTTCATGCACTGACTAGACGAGCAGGCAGCTGAACAGTGTTTATATTCGGAAGCTAACAAGATTCGTTGTTACGTTGAAACATACGATTAGGTCCGCTAGCACAGCAGGTTCCTTGTGCGCAGCTGAATCCACCGAGGCACTGATTCGACGACTGACACTGAACGATCTGACCGGTGAAGGAGATCAGTGGTGACGATGATGGTCCACATTCTGTAAGTATCACGAGGTTTTCGCCGTAACTTCACTGCGCACCAACTGCTACTGTGCTGGGTACTTAGTTTTTATAGTTAAAGAATAAAGGATAAAGTTTTTGGGGTCAATCAATCCCGTCTAAGGGATGCGCCCACGCATTCGACTTCCATTCAGAATCGTAGTGGCATAATGAATGCGTATGTGGCCTATATAATGACTGGTCGGCGGATGTACAAGTCATTGCAATCATCCTCCCAAACGAGTCTGGTACCAATCAACCGACCCCGGAGGGATGGAAGGCTTGGTTGGGCTAGGTGGGCATCGATCCGGGACTCGAACTCATGACCGTGTGTGCGACATAGTACGCCACTTGTCACTACACCACCTCCGCCCTTGAGTTTCTATAATTAAAGCGAGAATTTTTGCTTTCCGACTCTGTCAAAAAACTTGTGGCTGAACAAGGTGAGTTAATTAGATCTTAGGTTGAAGCGGTGGGGTCGTTGTGAAATCATCACTGAACGAGCAAAGATTCTATGGATTCCCTGTCTCATTTATAATATTATAGACCAGTGCGTTGATTAGTCAACTTCATGACGGTAGCTATTTTAAGTCAGAGCGAGAAAAAAAGAAAGACAGCGCCACGCTTCTCCAAAAGCCTAATTACAGTCGCAAAGTTGATGCTATTTCGGGAGCATGAAAAAAATTACCGCTTAGGTCAGATGACAGGAGAAAAATTCCCTCTCGAAACAAAATATAAAGTTGAAAGCTGGAACTAATTTTAATGTTCGCAATGGCTATATAATTTAAAATCCCTGCATAAATTTGGAGTAAAAATGTTTAGATATCATAACTGTGCAACGCTTCCGTCGAGTAACTCATAGTAAGAGAGCGAAAAATGGAATGAACTTACGTTGTGCTTGTCCCACACAGCAAATGTACTGCTTATGCTGCTGTGAGTACTGGCAAGCTGCTCCTGGACGATGCTTCTGACAACTGCAAATATCTTGAGGTGAACAGGTCAGCGGTTGGCCATTTGACTGCAGTGGATTCAGTCCAGGAGGACATTGGGCAACCACAACTGAAAAGTGCAGATCACACAGGGAATCATGAGAATAAATGTTTTCTGGCTTGTCCTGGCTGCTTACTCAAATGCGTGTACTGCGAGAACATGGATTGAGATATTTGATTCAGAAAAATGTCTTATTACTTGTCAGGGAGGGCTCTCAAGATGAGTTTAGCGCTCTCTCGGAATAAAAGCTACAATTTTCGAGCAAGCATTGTAAGTGAACAATGGAGCTTAGCTGTTTAGCTTCAATGGACGGAAGGAGATCGCTCTCAGATCAACACAGATCCCTAAACCGATTGCTTTCTAGAATTATTCCAAAATGCAATCTGTTCTTACCAGTTAGTGCCCCAAAATCGAAAAAATGTAATTGTATTGGAAATGTAAAGATAAAGTTGTTCAATGGAATGCTACGAGTTTTCGAGAAACGCTGTGAGGCAGTAGCTCGAATTCAGTGTAAGAGAAGAATCATTCATATCCCCTTCGCTACTAAGTTCATCGGCTCAACTAGTCATTCTTCTCCTAGTCAACTAGAAAAGAATATTCACTGACAGTATTTCTAAAGTCGTCTAGGTCACATGCGGGTGTTAGAGCACCGGTTTCGTCGTGGGAAGGTCAAAAGTAATGGGCGATCTGGGCATTAGTTGAGCCACACGAGCTGCCTAGAAAGCAATACAGTGCATTAAAGTGACATTACGATTGGGAAGGTGCGGTGCATGGCATATCCGCAAATGAAAAGATTTCTTGACTCCATGCCCCTTAGTGTTGGGTATTTCGTCTCTCTAGAAGCAACTAACATCTTTGAGAGGGTATTCCCCGGGTCACAAGCCATTTAAACGGAACGTTTCTCGAACTAACCTGCTAAACAAGTAATCAATGGTAGGAATTTCATGACGGCTGACATTGAAATTGCTCAAAAAAAGCGTTTTATGAGTGAGGGCATCCGTGTGTTGATTCAGCTGCCTAGACGGGAAATCCACGAACAAACTTGACGTTTGCATTCGAAACAAAAACGGTGCAGCAAATATCACGCACTAATACAAAGGCTCCTTGGAGTTCGAATCAGGCCACCTCACTGCTCTGGGAGAAACAAAAGTGTCACCAAGGGTGTAACTTCGGTACATTTACGGACAATGGAAGTCAATTGGGTTCCAATAAAAACTCCATCAGCTCAAACTACTTCAATTAGAAGTCACAATCGAGTTCAACACTCTCAAAGGTAGGTCAACAAGGCCGATTAGTTACTAGGCCCGGTGAATTCTGAGCTGGGACAGCAAAGTAGTTCCATAGTGCAGTATCGCACCATTCGAACGGTTTATCCCGTGGAATCCAGGTTTTTGTTTTGTTTTCATTGTGACTCATCGTCATTATCCCTCTCACCTCCACCGGTTTACTGTCACTGTCATGCGACTAGCCAAAAATATTTTTTCCGCTGTTCTACTCCCACTACTATTCGTCGTTGTCATGCACCCTTCATACGAGGTGATCAGAGGCCAGCGCCGTAGACGCTTCTTTCGAAGTAATGTAAGTAGCCTGCGAAGAAAAGATGGTACTTGAGCAATAGGTGTGAGCTCGGCCGATGTCTGGCAAATGCTCGGAGCCCTGTTTAATGTTAGAAATGCCGGGTACATATCCATGGAGTCAAATGAGCAATGCAGTATTCAGGTTGATGACATTGCGCTTCCGCGGGCGTCTAATTTCAAGCACCTCGGGCGTCGGACCACAGTTCAGCTTCAGAACCTAATTGCTTGAATGCGGCTTGGTCTGAGTGGCGTTCAACGACTGGCGTTCTCCTCGACGAAAAAATTAGTGAACGCTTTGTAATAAAAGATCTACTAGACCATATCCGCAATGATGTGCTAAGGGGGCTTTTTGAACTAGCCTCAATTGCTGATAGCACGACTTCGATGGTACGGCCATGTTTTGAGAGCGGATAAAACCTCGACGATCCTGAAACGCGGACTAGGGAGGTACAAATCAGCGTTCCCATCACGTTTTGCATGGAGACGCGAAATTAGTTGGCCTTCCCCTACGAAGCATGCGATCGGGAAAAGCGGAAAACATCAGAAAGGTTAACCATGGTACTAGGTAGGACAAGCGCTGAAGAAAGATAATGAAGTTTTTTTTNTTTTTTTTCCTAGGATATGAAAATTTCCAGAAAATTCATTCTGCTATAAAGAAATACGCATTTCCTCCGATGGCGCAGTTGGTTAGCGCGTGGTACTTATAAGTTTGAGAGATGCGAAGGTCAGGAGTTCGATCCTCCCATGGAGCAGATTTTTGCAATTTAGAATCAGGTTCCAGAAATCAAAAACAAGAATGAGTGCGAGTTTCGACCGGGCAGATATGTGCAAAAGTCCCGCCCCCGAGTAATCTCGAACCACTAACCTTTCGGTCAACAGCCTAACGCGCTGCCTGTTGCACCACGGAAGCGCTGATTCACTGGAGAGTGATCGAAGTTTCCAAATGTCCCTAAAAATTAGAACTTTTTTTCCTAGCATATGAAAATCTCCAGGAAATTCATTCTGCTAGAAAAGGTTACGCATATGCGCCATTGGCGCAGTTGGTTAGCGCGTGGCACATATAACATATGTCATTGCACCCGATGGTCTTGACGCTAATATTGGGTTGTAACATAAGTTCGTAGAGTTTTGTGTTAGGGTCATTTTACAACGATTCACTTTGTTTTTTGGCGAAGTGTATATACTCATTCGAAAGAGCTCTTTCTCCTCTATAAAATAGTTTTATTCGTTTTTTAGATAATCTAGTTGTACGTCTTTTTTCTGACTCAGAATTGGAATATCCAGGAGGAGAAAATCAGCATTTTCGACATCTGCTTTTCATCGAGGTCAATAAGCAGCCGAAGCCGCTCGGGACATATGCAATGTGTACGAGGAAGGTGTCCTAGGTGTGTCTCTGGGTGGCCCCAGGAGAGGCACCGAAGCCGAGAGTCAAGCAAGACCTTCACTCAAAATAGGTCATGATTTGCGTTTGGTGAGACTGGAAAGGCACGGTGCACTGGGAAGTGCTCGAACGAAATGCTACTGTCAACAAGGAGGTCTACATTGCCCAGCTCAACCGTGTTAGTGTGGTTATTCTGCTGAAAAGACCAGGTAGACAAGGTGAAGTCATCTTGCTCCAGGACAACGCCAGGTCCCATAATGCCCAGGTCGTCAAAACAGCACTCCAAAAGCTTGAATAAGAGGTTCTTCAGCATCCACCGTACTCTCCGGGTCTTGCACCTACCGACTACCACCTTTCCGCTCTTTGTCAAACCAAATGCGGAGTGTTACCTTCGATGGCGAAGAGGTTCTTGGAAACTGGCTCAACAGCTTCTTCGACACCAGACCGGCCGATTTTTGGCGAAACGGCATCAACAAATTGGTCGAGAGATTGGAGGAGGTCGCAAACAGTAACAGGAAGATACATCACTGATTAATTTATTATTATAATTATTGTTTTTTGGTAAAATAAATCTCTGTGAAAAAACTCTACGAACTTATGTTACAACCCAATAGCTGACTGCAGTAAGCAAAAATATCCTTAAAATTCATTCACTCATTAGCGTAAGTCAAAGGCACAGTTTACGATAAAAATTGTTTCTGATATTTCCCCACAGGATGAACTTGAGGCCTCCTTGTATACCATATCTGGCACTATTAGGTCAGAAAACGGCCTATTTGAGGAGTTATAAAGGCTTAAAGAATGGCCCGTGTGTATCCTCGGACGAGTTTCACCGGCATTGTGGAGGGTGCACCGATCACAAGGAGCCCATGTAAGAAGTTCAAACAATTTGTCATTCTGTACAGTTCTGGCTTGATGAAAACTCGTCCCAATACCCCTTCTATGTTATTTCCGTCGTGGCAATCTCGTCCAACCTCTATTTTCCATACTTTTAAAAAGCCATATTTTTCTCGAAAACGGCGAATCCTGTCGCTTTCTTCACTACCAATGAACTAATCTCAATCTATACTTTCACTTTCCGACTAAAACTGGTACCTCGAAATTATCGTGAACTGTCCCTCCAAAGGTACAGTCCACGATAAGAGTGGCTTTTGGCATTCCCCATAGTATGAATTAAACACCCCGCATCATTTAATACCTGTCGTTATAAGGTTGAAAAACGTACTGTATAGGGCACACTGAGAGGCCAGAGATTGTATCGTTCGAATGCCACACCCATGGTGGACGAGTTTCAACGGTATTGTAGAAGCTGCCTATCTCAGGGAACTCCCATGTAATAAGCTCGAACAACTTGTCATGACCCATTCCGACAGTGAAAGGGAGTCTCGGACAATTCCGTCTCGATGTAGTTAGCTTTTGGAGTATGTGAATCCTCGTCCAAACACCCTTTACAGGCCATTCTCATCATGGCGATCCCGTACATCCTCTATTTCCACTGCTTCAAAAAAGTCTAACTTTTCGCGACATAGGTAGATTTTCTCGCTTTGTTCGCCTTCGTTGTACTGTTCTACATCAACGCTTCCACTTTCCATCTTGAAAAGCGTATCTCAAAGCTATCATGAACTGTGTCTTCAAGAAAATCGCTATCAACACCAGAAATAGCCCAACCTTTTCACACTCTTAACGTGGAGAACTGAGTAAAGGATCGCAGCAGCAAAAAGAATAAAGGAGAATAAAAGAATAAAAGTGAAATATCGTCTTCCAGCTGATTTTTTGTAGGTTTTGGAGCGAATACTGCAATCTGTACCACGACACTCCTCTAACACATCATTGATCAATGGACATGGCATGCGGCCAATCCGGTATCTGGACTCCTTTTAGCCGAGGCTCTTGAATTTTTGGGCCCGACAGCGTCCTTTTTGTTACCCTTGGAAGCCACAGGGTAATCTCAAGGGAGTAATCAAAGAAACTATTTTTATCGTGAGCTGTGCCTCTAATTCAATATACTTTATGGCTCAGAATTTAAGATGCATGTTTTATGTGGCTGGGAAAAATTTTTAATGAGCCCCCCCCCCTAGCTAGAAAGCGGTTCCATTACTCGATCATTCGTTGAGATTACTTTCC